CACAGTTTTCCCCCCGCCCCGGGCCTCGGTACCCTGGCCCCCGCCGGCACACTGCCCCCGGGAAAGCCGCCCCCCCCTCCGGGGGCTTCCCCCCGCCGGCCTCGGCTGTCAGCACCCACCCCGCTCCTCCAAGGGGTGAGCCCCTTCCCAGCCCCCAGGCGGGCAGGGCCGGCTCCCTGTCCATCTGCGCTGGGGAATTTAGACCCAGGGCGGAAAGAAGATTAAGCCTTCCCCGCCAGCTGTTTCCAGCAGTGCATCCTCCCTCGCCCCTCCACGCTGACCACATGTGAGGCCACATGTCCCCTCCCTGCCCCGGCCTTACCGTGGAGAACAGGTCTCCATCCACCCACCCACTGTAGCAGTAGTGGTGGGTCTCCAGCAGGTTTCTCCCAACAGTGTTTTAAGGACTGAGCGTTTTGGCAATGCTGCGAGCATCCATCAGCAATCCCGGCAGCCCCCTCATGGCTGGGGCACAGGATGAGGGGCTGGCTCAGGAATTCTCAGGACTTGTGGCCCTCGTGTCGGTAGGTGATGACCGGGCAGCAGTCTCCAGGCTAACTCTGGTTTTCATCATCCATGCGATGTCGACCACACCGGCTCCCAGTTCCTCTCAGAGACAAGCATCCATCCGAGCAGAAGTGCTCTCGCCTGGCACCATGCCAGCCCCACATGCCTGCCCCGAGTGCCTTCAGCAGCAGCCAGTTTTGCTGGGGGGGGACACACAGGACTTTCCACCCCATAACCGTCATCCCCAAAGCTTCTCTCACTTGAGTGGCTCATCTGGCCAAGGACCCGGTCCTGGACGTGCCAGGAGCCAGCAGCAAGCAGCTCGTTTATGTTTCAGAGTATGGATGGCAGAGAATATGCCGGAGGATGGGCATGATACCATGGACACACATGGCAGGTGACAGGCACAGGACACTGAACAGTCACGCATGGCCCGTGGCATCATCAGGACATGCTGTGATGCCCGCAAGCCAGGCTGAGCCCACAGAGCACGGCTCGCTACGGCAGGGGCGGCAGCCCTGTCCCACCCCCCAGGTCAGCCCGCG